CTTTGCGCCCCTCCCCCCGGGCTACCTGCTGTGGTGCGGGCGGCTCCCCCCCCCTCAGCTCACCTCCGCTCCGTCTCCGCCTCCCTGGGCTTGAGCACGAAGCTGCTGCTTGCTTCTCTGCCCTCCCAGGCTTCCCGCGTGAACAGCTGATTCGCAGGAAGCGGGGCGGAGTGTTCAGAGACTGAGGCGGAGCGGAGGTGAGCTGGGGTGGGGGGAGCCGCGGGGTAGTGCTGAGGAAGGAGGGGTTGTTTCCGCAGGGCCGGGCGGTGCTGGGGGGAAGTGGGGGGGGTGTTTCCGCGGGGCCGGGAGGTTTTGGCCCTCAACTGTTTTCTTTGGAGTAATATGGCCCTCGCCGCTTTACAAGTTGTTCAGGTCTGCTCTAGAGGATCCCCATAAACTAATGTGACCCTCCCATGGCTCATTTTCAGTCATTTTCAGACGGCTTTGTTTTGGTACTGATGTGCAAAGCTGCTTCACCACAAAAGAAAATGTGGCCCGATCTATGGGTTTTAGCCAATGCCCACTGAAGTGAACAGAACTCTTTCCATTCACTTCAGTGGGATGTGCATCAGCCTTCAACTGTAGCACAAGTAGATCATCTTGACTGTCTCATGATCATGAGTAAGACACAGCAGTTTCAGGTCAGAGAAGTATGACATATTGGTTCTGTTGCTTGAATCTGAATGGAAGGAACCAGCAAACTTCTGCCTAAAAACTACTCACTTTTACAGAAAGGTGGGGTGGGGGGGTCATTTTCAATGCTGAAGAAAGTTTGAGGCTCAAAAAAAGTCTGACTGAAACCTTACCAATTCTTTTGTGAACCTAAAACCCAAATGAGTTTAGCATATTAGATTTTACTGCAAATAATTTATTGCAAACAGGACTATTGTGTGTTTCAAAGAGTATCGGGTTTGTTTGGGGTTAAGGGTAAGGCACCTTCTTGATTTAGGAGTTCAAGACCTATTTTCAAAAATGAATTAGCAGCCTAAGTGCCCGAGTCACTTTTGAAAACAGTATTTGAGCTCCTAAATCATTTAGGGCACTTGAAAATTTTACCCTAAATATGTATTGTGGAGACATCTCACAAGAGTCCACTATTCTGCTGCTGAAAACCAACAGACATTTCTATAGACTCAGAAAAATGTGAACTCCACCAGTTTTGTAGCAGCAGTAAACCGAGGCGCTGTCTACACACAGTTGAGATGTTTGGTCAAATTTGTGCAATCATCTTTGATGAACACTTGTTAATCCATTTCAGAGTGACTGATGTTGATTTAACATAAGGAATTGACTTAAATTGATACATTGGTAAGTTAAGGCCTGAGATAGACAACGCAAGACAGATGAAAAGAGTTTTAACAGTGGTCAAGCTTTTATACAGAAAGTTTCAGTGGCAGATGAGAGGACTTTTTTATGCACCTGCACTCACCCTCTCAATCTTACATTGGGTGGTAGCTGAGTTACAACAGTGCAACAGGAAACAGAAACACTCTCAGTTTCACACACATGAAGCTATTAAACCAAGAGGATGCTGGAGTATAGAAAGTAGTCATCCTGTGGACTGAGGAATTCCATCAAATTTAGTTCTGCTGAAAACATTCTCAGTAGTCAGGCTAAAAGGACATTTTTGTGCATTACTTAAAAGAAAGGCTTACACAACCTTTCACATTTTGTGGTGTCTGTCTGCCACAACCAGATTCCACACCAATGTAGCAACCCTACCATACATATTGCTGAAGTCAGAGCAACCAATGAACTATTGAACACTATGTTAATAGTGAAGTCCCATGATGTTCTGTAAAACTGTGTAATATACTTACTGTTGCATCAGAGAGGGAAAAAAACCCTCCTTTTAAGATTTCCTACTTTTTAAAGCTGGTTCTGTTTCAAAGGTTTCAGTTCTTGCAAGATATGAGTTTAACAAGTCCTGTCTAGATTACCTGGGGTGATCACTAGCTGCGGTGTAAGCCATTTTACAAATCTGTCATGGACTACCACAGTTGCATACGGTCTACACTAGCTAGAATAGACAAGCTAGCATCATTTCCCTCACTAGCGTGAACAAAAGCACCAACACCTTATGTATACTACAGACAGGTTATGCACTAGCATGGTTGCCTGACACAGTTAGTGATATCCGTAATCTAACACTGATAATCTTAACTGTGGCATGCAACTGTACAAGCATATGGTTGTGTGTAATGCAGACAATCTGACAGGCTGCCAGCTACTGTACCTTACTGGAAATGGATCTGACACAATATTGCTACCCCAGCTGCTTTCTGCACAGCATACAATCTAACAAGAGCAAATTAAGATAGCTGTTATGGACATATTTCAGAGATGTTTAAATATTTAGCCCTTTTATACTAGAACATATATGTGTTTTGTTGTGGCTATATATTAGCAATTTAATCTATGAATTTTCTGCCTTTTGCAATTGTCTTACCACTTTAATAATTTTCAGTTCATACCTTCAAAAAATTGGGTGCCTGAGGCTACGCTCTGAATCTGTATTTAAACATTCAAACAAATGGTCTGACTTTCGGAAGCAATGAGCGCACACCCAATGAAGTCAGCAGGAGATGCTGGGTATTCAACCTTTTTGAAAACCTTGTGCAGCATTTCAATAGGCTGACGTAGATTTATATAACTACGTGACTGTGAAATACTAGATGAAGACAGTGCACAGCACATTTCAGAGTTTCAATAGACCTACCTTATAATACAAGAATATGTTCTAAATTAAATGCTTGTGAAATCTGGTTTTGTGAAGACAGCCCAAAACCAGTTCTGAATAAAAGACAGTTACCTTTTCCATAACTGGTTTTCTTCGGTGTTCACCTAATATGGAATGGACATGAGCAAGCACTCAAAGAATTCAAATTTATATTTTTGCTGAGACTTGTGACCAGAATGTCTGATATTTTTTAAAATTGATTTTGAAGACATTCCAGACCCAATTATTTTCTTGACACAGTGCATCCTTTATGTCCTTAACAGAGCCACAACAGTCCCCCTCAGAAGCCCAGAGTGACAGCTTTCCCTTCAGCACAGAAGACTGGCTACCAGCCCCTGCTTGCATGAAAGTCAGCGTCCAAACACCTTGCATAGCAAAATATGGCACCTCCAACTAGACCTGACCAAAATGCTTTGATGAGGGGAAGAAGGGCATGTGTAAAAGAAATGCTGACACTATTGACTGCAGACCAGTCTCACTCACCACTTCACTTTGCAGGTCTGTGTGTTCCATTCCACAATGTGTTTGTCTTCTGAACAACTATATAAACAACCATTGTCCTGGTGCCACCGTACACAGTTTATTCTATTGTCATGACCACCATCCTACAAGAGAAACAAAGATTTAATTGCTAATGGGCAAATGAAACGGGCCTTGGCTAATGAGTTTTTGTGCAATCAACATACCGAACAGGCCACTTTTGGGGAGCTAAATCAGGTTATGGAAAATATGAAAAGGGTTATTCACTCAAACAGAAAGATGGCACTATACTGCAGTTTTGAGTTGGTCTCACACACATGCATCCAGATAGATGCTAGAAATATAAGTGGTTACACCTTTAAAATTCTTTAAGTAATGAAAGGTTTAGTGAGAGAATTCAAGCCTGCTCTAGCACTTTAAAGTCACAGATAAAGAAAACCATCCCCCTCCTCATTACACTGACATAAATACAGTCCAAACAGAGACATCTGAATAAACTATGTATCTTGCTAGCCTTCTTCCCTGATGATACAGATATCTCCCAGATGGACACTTCAAGAGCCTGCCTGTCCAAGCAAGCTGCTAAATAAGTGCCATTTCCATGTATTCAGCACTTCAGAAGGAGCCATCAACAGATCAGACCCAAGGACTTAGCAAGAAACATCAGCCACCTCTCCTGTCCGTCAAGTTATCAAAATGGCTGCAAGCTCACAGGCCTGGAAAACAACTGGATGGGTGTAGCTAAACACTCTACTGAATATCTCAATAATGAATAGACCAAACAAGGAAGAAAATGGGGATGTCACGATCTAATCTCTAAAGGCAGCTAAATCTGATACCATACACAAGGAGTTTTTTTTTGTTTTTGTTTTTTATAAGGGGCAGAGTCGAATTAGAAAAGGCAGGAGGAAGAAAACCAGAGGCACTAGCAGAAGGGTTTCCAGCTGAGATTTTAGAGAAGGTTGGGGTTGTGACATTCTATACCTTGGGAGAGCATCCTCTAACCCCCATATTCCTCATTTTTATATAATTGTGATCTTACATATAAACCATGCCTTATATGGTATCGGGGAAAGGTTATGATCAGTTGAAAGTCATTTCTCTATCCATATATGTATATCATTAATGTATATGAAGTTATGAGAATTGTGTTGTATGGTTGTCACTGAACAACTATATAAACAACTGAACCACCATACAACACAATTCTCATAACTTCATATGTAAGAGAATGTAAGTTGGGAAATCAGCCAGATATTAGCTCCCAGAGGCAACAGCAAGGAAAGTAACCAACACCTGGGCAGGGGTCAATCAACTCATCAACAACCACAGTCCAGCAAGGGAGCTACTGGAAATGTGTTCGATTATCTTTTGTTTTAGCTTGTGAATTTTCCCTATGCTAAGAGGGAGTTTTATTCCTGGTTTCTAGAACTGTGAAACTAAGTCCAGAGGGGGAGTCCTCTGTGTTTTAAATCTTATTACCCTGTAAAGTTACCTTCCAGCCTGATTTTGCAGAGGTGCTTCTTTTACTTTTTTTCTTTATAATAAAGTTCTTCTTTTAAGAGCCTGATTGATTTTAGTGTCCTAAAGATAAAGGGTCTGGTCTGTACTCATATTAAAGGCAACTGATTGGTATATTATTCTCAAGCCTCCCCAGGAAAGGGGGTGAAGAGGCTTGTGGGGATATTTTGGGGGAATAGGGACTCGAAGTGACCCTTTCCTGCATTTTTGTCTAAATCACTTGGTGGTGGCAACAATACCGTCCAAGGACAAGGAAAGGAATTTATGCCTTGGGGAAGTTTTTAACCTAAGCTGGTAGAAATAAGCTTAGGAGAGTCTTTCATGCAGATCCCCACATCTGTACCCTAGCGTTCAGAGTGGGGAGGGAACCCTGACAGTGACTCACCTGCATGAGGCCACACCAGGGGAATTGCTCAATCTTGCCTGGAGACTCAGCAATGCCCACCCAGACATGCCTGGACTTGTGCTCCCCAAGCACATAGGACTGAGGATATAAAACAGACACAGGCCCAGCATGTGTCCCCTTTCTCCTTCACCCACCCATGCTGCAACCAACAAGGACACTCTGAAGACTCCAACTGAGGGGACTGGCCCGGATTTCAAGGGTGAAATCTGTGTACTATGAACTGCAATATCCACTGGGATGAGGAAAAACTGCTTAGTCTAGTTGCTGCCCAGTCTAATAGGGTTGACAGTTTAGACTGCGTGCTTACATTTTATTTCTTTTGGTAACTGATTTTTTGCCTATCACTTAAAATCTATCTTTTGTAGTCACTAAATCTGTTTTACTGTTTAACTTTACCCATGAGTTTGTATGAAGCGTGTGGCAAATCTGCTCAGGTTTTGCAAACGCGAGTGTATATCCGTTGCCCATTGATGAAGTGGTGAACCAAATTAATAAATTTGCACTGCTCATCTTGAGCATTGCAAGATGGTATATTCCTGAGGTGCTGTGCTGGGAGCTGCAGGGATTTGGCTCTGGTGCCTTTTCTGTGTGATTTCTGGCTCTAGGAGCATTCGTGCAATCTAGCTAGGTGCGGCGCTCCACATGCTGTTGTGCAGAACGATAACAGCAACTGGAGGTGTTTGCTGCTGGTCACTAGTAAGGCATTGTGAAAGACAGCCCAGGTTGGAGAGAGTTCAGGAGTCACAGCGGTCCCACCGTTCCATGCTGCACCCTGGGGATCCCATCACAGGGCCATTGGTCAAGTCATCGAATAATCCTGGCATCACGTGTCCCAAACATGGGAGTCTATCAGTGTGGGGAAAATGCACTGGGTTATACTTAATCTGAGACCTGGTATTAGAACTCAAGTCCTACCAAAGGAGCAGCAACAGCATTTTACTGAGAATCTGTTCTAACCAGAATGAGAGGATGAACACATGCCTAGAAAAGTTACTGGATCTTCTTCCAAAAGATTAACGCAGTTTTGTAAGAGCATCGCTAACCCAATTTTAGTCATAATTTGAGTTTCCTGTAAATTTCCTGAATTTTACTATTTAATTCAGCACCAGCCTGCTCAGACAGCCAAGAGGAAAATGTCTTCACTGCAAGTCAGCAGTGAGCGAAACCAAGTAAGCATCATCACAGCAAGGCATTATGCTTAAATATGGGCAGAGAAAAAAATTAATTTGATATATTTCAAAACCAAAAATGACTTTTCAGTTATGACAGAGTGAGGAATGTTCTTGCCATTCCAAATATTAAAAAAAAAAAATGACACCCAAATACAAGCCACTATTCTGTTACTAACAAAAGAAAAATAGTCAACATTTCTGTGGACCCATCAAAAACATGAACTTTGTGGGTAAAATAAAGACATGTCACCAGCAAAGTTTCAGCATTCACCCTATCAATTTTAAACCAATGTTGCTAAACCACTACCCAACTTAACAAGGCGCACAGATGCTTTCCCATATGTAATAAATACACACTGTGCATCAATGCCCACGACTAATAGCCTAGAACTAGGAGGAGGAAATCAGTCTCATATGTCTATTCCAAAATATTATCATTGATATCAACCATTATATTCCTTTGTTTTGTTACAATTCAAGGCTAAATGAAGATGCAGAGAAGAGGTGATGTTAATAAAAAGAAGGAAAAATGACAGGAGGATGGAACCACCACCTGATACATATGCTGAGAATATAAGGACTCACACAAGACATCATATGGAAAGCTAAGTCTGTGATTCACACTTTTATAGACAAGCCAACATGCCAGTGCAAGTAGCATCTCCATGCTAGCCAATGCAATTTTTAAAATTCTCTGACACAGAATAACGTCTAATTGTTGAAGATGCAATACACGCAAGATGAATTTCATGGTGTCTAAATCCTTACTATCCTCTTGAGTTAAAAGGAACTCAAGAATTACAAATGTACATGTAATCGTATGATGTTGCGCTAGTCTAGAAAAAGTAATCCTCAGTCTATACATACTAGCAACACTAGAAGTAGAATCATTCTGACATTCTTGTGGATACCACATACCCATTCATGTGTGTAACTACATAACCATTCAGAATTTAAAACTTTGTTAAATTAGCTTAGCCCACCCCTTTGAGCAACAGATATGACCTTACAAATAGGCAGAAAGATGTGACGCTTACTAGTTTGCTCTGTAATTCTCCTTTAACTGTGCTGTATAATAAAATACTGCCAACCGCTGTACCAATGGCCAACAGATCAAACTGTTCGCCTGCTTCTGCAGCTTCAGATTTCCTTTTTTTCCTCTGAGGACCCTCCTGAAAAGAGATTGGGAGCGGGGTTAAAAAAAAGTAAGTTAGTCTGATCAGCTTCCCCAAATAAGGATTCTGTAACCCTAGAGTTCAAACACAATTGGGAACAAATGTGTGTAAATTCTAGTGTAGACAGGACACAATCATATTTTAACATGTTAACTAACAGGATTACAAATCTTAGTGTCGACAAGCCCAAAGAGTATTATTTCCACCACTATGGCTCAAAATCAAATTTTAAAAGATCAGATGAAATCATCCTGATAGCATAGTGGCAGTGTGCTGTTCCATGAAGAAAACCCCAAGGTCATTTTCTAGTCTTTGCTTTATTCCCAGAGCGAGGCTGAAAGGTAGTACACGGGGTATGCTTCATCCCCAAAGGGGAAGGTCAAAACCATAACAGAATTTAGCATTTCTATAGTACTTTTCATTTTTCAAAGCACTTTACAAACATTAAATAAATCTTCAACTTCCCTGAGAGGAAAGTGCTATTCCATTTTACAGATGGGGAAAATTAGGACAACACAGTGATTTGCCCAAGGCCACAAAGGAAGTCAGTATCAGAACAGGCATTATATCTCGTAGTTCCTGGCTCCCATGCTCAGGCCATTTTTTAATCCCTTGCCCTCACAGTTTGAGAGCCACTGAATCTCTACACAGAGTTTCAGCCTGTCCTCCTTGGCCAGAAGTGTGGTGGGATGGCCAGGTTAGGTAAGTGAAAGGAGACTAGAATCAGTTCCTCGGGATGCCAAACCATAAAGAAAGGAGGAGGAAAAGCCACCACCACACTTCTGCTCACAAGGGTTTTATGTCAGACTGTGTTCATACTTAACTCTTTAAGGGCTTCAGAAGAATGAAGCAGCCCCAACCCCACAGGCAAAAGGAAAATATTTTTCTGCCGAGTTTGTTGTACCTTATGTAGACACTACCTCATCTCAGATTTCATTTTTAAAAACTTTCTACCCACAAGACACAAAATGATGTTTCCTCTACAGAACAGGATATCTGCACTAATGCACCGCAAGGAAGCCCAAAAAGGACTCCTTGTGGGCTTAAAACAAGAGCCTTGCTGCTCCACCTACATAGGTGTCTATTTTACATTACAATAGGTCACATGCAGCATGTAATTAATTTGTGCCCAAGCCCAAAGATGAGAGCTGCAGGTCATCTGGAAGCTTACACATTTAAGTTTAAAATTTTAAACAATGCAAAAAAAAAAAAAAAAAGAGAGAGAGACAGACTTTGGATCCTTGAAGTTACAGTACTCTAAACTTTTGACACAGGGCTAAATGTAGGTATTTGGGAAGCAAAAAGACACTAATTTTAGCTGAAGTTAACTCTATGCCAGTTTAATAAAAATCAGAACTGACATTTGAATAAAAAAATATCTAACTCCATTACTCCATTCCAAAAGCTTTCGCATAAAGCCAAACCTAAGTGGAAAGCTGAGGTCTCTGCTTGTCACAAACATACTTTCAGGCTTCATTTTCAGAGACAAAGGAAGAGTTTTTAAAAGTGCAGCAAAAATTATAACACACATCCCAAAGCATGTTCATACCTGGAACTAAACATTTCAAACCAGGTCTAGTGCACGTTAATCTAGGTTTTAAAGTCATGATCGACACTAGGTCTGAACATTAAACCAACTAACTAAACTTGTTTGGAGGCAGTCACATTAAAGCTGTGTTTAAACACTGTTCTTTGGTCAGTGAAGCTGAGGCCTATGTTCGCACTGGATGCCAGATAGTACCGGAAGACCCTAAACAGTATCTGCATTAAATGAAACCAGTTAAGCACAGATGGGTGCTGAAAACCCTTTCTCCTTGAAATAGCAAGCAACCAGCCATAAGCACAGAAGCACCTACTAATTTATCTAAAATTCTTCCATCCTCCCATCACCTCTACCCTCCTCCCCCCAATTCTTAGTTCACTGGAGATATTCCAGAACACATTACAAATACAAGCAAGTCTTACCTAAGTCCATCCAATCATAGCATTTCTGATGTCACAGAATGAGAGAGCCAGGTAGTAGCAAAGGTTCTCCAAAGGAAACTTGTTTTTAAGTTACCCTAAGTCTTTGCTGAAATGCTCCCAAAAGCTTGGCTAATGAGCGCATTTGGGTATGGCGTCTTTGGAATAAAAGGTGCTAAGCCAGTGGTTCTCAAAGTTTTGCACTGGTGACCCCTTTCACATAGCAAGCCTCTGAGTGCAAGCCCCCTTATAAATTAGCACTTTTAAATATATTTAACACCATTATAAATGCTGGAGGTGAAGCAGGGTTAGGGTGGAGGCTGGCAGCTCGCAGCCCCCCATGTAATAACCTTGCGATCCCCAGGGTCTCCAGTTTGAGAACCCCTCTGTTAAACAAACACGAGAATTAGATATTGATCTAGAAAATGCCTCGCTCACACCCTTCCAAAAAATCCACAGAACTAAAATACAAACCAGTCTTAGGTTCTGATCCTGCAATGATCGACACATGGCGATATCTCTTATTAATTTCACTGTGACCCAACATGGAGCTCACTGCAGGATCAGGACGCTTTTGATACCAGATAACATCTAGGCTTTCGTGTGCAAGACATAGAACTTGATTCTGCCAGATACGAGTGTCTTACTATTTTTTCAGATGCTAGGGATTGAAGAAATATTTAGAATTCATTTACAATTTTGACTGAGGAATATTAGTATTTTAGTTAAAGCAGTTATGGTAAAATAATTTGATTTTTTTCTTTTAAGAAGGCATGCTTTTCCATAATATCCTCACTGGAAAAGTAGATTTTTATAAGTGACTATTTCAGGGGGGAGACTTTCTACTGACCAGCACTTTAAGAAAATTGTGTCACCATAACAAAAGCTAAAATACCTCCCACACTACAAGCACATATACAGAGATTGGGGAGATGTGTGCTCCAAGCAGCTATCACAGAACTAGGAATTCCCAGGATTAGAGTTCAAGATCTCACTGATTTCTACAACTCATCCCCATACTGGCCAAAAAACGTGTGGTCATCATTAAAGTGGCAAGAGTCCAGAAAATATTTTGCCTTTGTGTAAGTGGAACCTGGCCAAACACCACCTAGAGGCATCTACTGGCATATGATTGCTCTTAAAGCATATGACACATTAGCAGAAAACAGCAAGCTTTCCAGTGCAAAAGGAAACAAAACTTATGTTACAAGCATCCTTTAGTTGGCTCAGCTATCAGAGCTTTATTTTTTTTCCTGCTCAATCTGAGCACAAACCAACAAGTTACAAAGCTACAGAAAATACATACTGCAAGATATGAAAAGTTACCAGTTCCACAAGAGAACATGCTGAAATCCAGGTAATGCTCTGAGTTCAATATGTTAAGAGATAATTAGCACTAAGATGTGGCCCAGTGTTTGACAAAAAGTTCCTTACACAAGATAAAAAGCCCTGTCTACACCTAGATTTTAAAACGTTAGCCCCTTTCTGAAGAACCATTTTCAGACACAGTTCTTGCTAGAAAGCTGCTTAAGAAGCTCATGTACACATTGTATCATGCCAGGACACCATGTTATAACAATGTTTGAAAGCTATATTACAGGTTATAACATACTTTGGTTCCATCCACACAGGCAAAACCAAATGCATGCTATGAAATGGTGTCCCAACATGCAATAGACTAAGTGAGAGAGGCCCGCAGTTTCTTCAGTCAGCATAGATACCAAATTATAAATATGGTTTTCAAAAGTGTATTGTTATAATTGAGCAAATTAAAGTACAGGACAATAAGTTAGGAGAGCTAAACTACTTCTCTCTGCCACAGAAATCCTGTGTCCTTGGGCAATTCACAATCTCTCAGATTTCCCAATCAGTAATATGGGATAATACTCGGGAGCACCTCAGAATAAATTAAACAAGTATGTAAAGCACTTTGAAATCCTTGTACAGCTGTTACAGAAATAAAAAATATTATAATATGGTTATGCCCTATCTGCACTTTCTGAACAAGAACAAGGTTCAAATACTGTTTTTAATCCTAAAATAATGGTTGAGATGGTGGCTTCAAATCTCAGTGTAGACAGGACGTAACTGAGCTAGCGCCTTGTTTTAATTTTGATCACACCTTTGGTTTGATAATGAACTGTAAAAAATAAGATAAATGCTCTGAAATTCACCACTAGAATTTCCAAGTTCCCGGATGATTGCTCAGAATGAAATCACTGAATGTCACTCATACCTATTTAAAGAATTCCTAATTCCTGGAAAAATTCCCTTCCACAAATAACTTGCAAAGAGCAAAAAGTGGTGAGGTAGATGTTATCCCAAAAGGAGACTGAATTCTACATAAATTAGTAGTGTATGAATTCCTAATACCATTACTCTCTCCTTAACAGTATCTCACCAATAGAGCTAATATGAAGGACAGCTGGTTACAAATATAATTCATTCTTTGAGCAAAGGATACTTACAGCTATTATACATACACACAGTTCAATTAATTTACATGGCTAATACAAACCTATTTCAGAAGAACTACCCATCAGCAAAATCATTCTGTCACAGCCACAGGTGAGAATGGCTTACCCAAGTGCTTCCCCCCACCTCCAATTATCTGGAACCCCACATATTTTTTATTACACAACCATTTTGGATAAATGGGGCTGTACTAGGTACATGTCAAAACTGTCCAATGCATACAAGAAGTCATTGTTCCTTAGTTCTCTTCCTAGCTTTGGACACTGGGTGACCTTGGGCAAGACACATACTCCCATCATCAGTTTCCCCAACCTGTAAAAGTGGAAAATATTTACCCACATCACAAAGGGACTGGGAGTCTTAGTTCAATAACACCTCTAAAGTGCTTAGAGACTCCCTAATGAAAGACACCGCCGGTGTTATTGTGGCATATATATAAAGTATACACAGGCACAGATGCAACACCATACACCAAGCGACTGTAGGTCCAAAGGAGACACTTAACACCAGCCTGGGCCACCCAAGGACTACCTCCCCACTAGGCGCACACACGATGGGTGCTAAGATTCCCCCATCCCATGTTCCTCCCCCCCCCCCCCCAAGCCTAGGACTAGGTTCACCTAATTCTTCCCTTCCCCCAGGGTTTGCGCGCACTAGCTCCCCTCACTGGAGCAGCTCCCCCGGGAGGGGACCCTGTCGGCCTCACCACCCCTAGCCTCGGCCCCACCACCTCTAGCCTCGGCCCGAGCGGGGGTGGATGCCCCACGTGCGCTGCCGGTGGCCCGTCTGCACTAGCGCTGCCCGGCAGGGTGCTGCGGACAGGAGGCGGGAGGCCAGCAAGGGGAGGGGGGGCTGTGGCCGTGTCCCCGTCACACGGGGGCTGTTTCCCGGCTGTAGGGGGGGCTCCCCCCACTCGGGGCCTGCTGGCTGCTCTCCCTGGGGAAGCCACATGGTGCCGGGGGGTGGGGCGGAGCAGGCCCGGCCCCGCACGGGGCGAGCGGGCCATGCGGTGCGGGCGGCGGCACCCCCGGCCCGGCCCCGCGTTCCCTCCCGCCCCGGTACCTTGCTCGGGGGCTGGCGGCCCCCCGGCGGGGCCCAGGCCAGGCAGGTGCAGGCGGCGCTGAGGTGGGCGGAGGGCACGTACTCGTGCTGCAGGCGGCTGCTCGGCGTGTCCCACACCCGGAGGCGCCCGTCGGGACCGCACAGCGCCAGGGAGCGGCAGCCGCCCGGAGAGAAGGCGCAGGGGGCCCGTGGGGCGTCCCCACCACACACTGCTCCGGCCGCCGCCATGGCGCTCTGGGCCCGGCCTCTGCTCCAGGCCAGCGGCGCAGCGGCCACGTGTTTCCGCCCCGCGCAGGCGCACTGGCCTGGGACGGGCTCCCCCTGCGCCGCTCCTCCCCTCAGCTGCTCCGCCCGCGGCGGGCGGGGGGCTGAGTGTGGCAGGAGGGGGAGTCCTTTGGGGGAAGTTGAGGGTGGCAGGACAGAAGGAGGTCGGGGGAGGGGGTGGAATGTGTGTTCAAATAGTATTTTGAGGCGGGTGGGTTATGAGAGTATCAAGGGTGAAAGTTGGGATCCTGGGGGCTGAGTATATGACAGCTTTGGGAGGTACTTTCTGTGTGCTGGGGGGTTTTGGGGTGTGTGTGTGTGTCAAGAGATGTGTGTGTGACAAGCTTTTTTTAAAAAGTTTTTTTAAGGCTTCTCATTTTGCAGGCCTGATAATGTAGGATATAATGTGACTGTACCAAGGGATGCCTGGGACATAATTGTTACATATACTGCAGAAACATCTGTCAGAACTGATCAAGTAGCGGGGGTAGCTGTGCTAGTCTGTATCTACAAAAACAAGGAGTCTGGTGGCACCTTAAAGACTAACAGATTTATTTGGGCATATGAGGTTTTTACCCACAAAAGCTTATGCCCAAATAAATCTGTTAGTCTTTAAGGTGCCACCAGACTCCTTGTTGTTTTTGCAGAACTGATCAAGATTCATAGATTTCAAGGCCAGAAGGCATCCGTGTGACTTCTCTGAAACAGGCCATAGAAAGTCTCCACAGTAATTCCTAGAGCAGAGCTTTTAGAAAAACATCCAATCTTGATTTTAAAATGGTCAGTGATGGAGGATCCACCATGACTGTTCCAATGGTTAATTACTTTCAATGTTAAAAATGCACACTTTATTTCCAGTCTGAATTTGTATATCTTCAATTTCTAGCCATTGGATAGTGTTATACCTTTCTCTGATAGATTGAAGAGCTCAGGATTAAATATTTGTTCTTGGACGTATACATTCCCATTTAGTTAAATCAAAACACATATTGTTTTCTTGCACATACCTTTCCAAGCAATCCAGTGACCCGTCCTCTTCATTATTTACCACTCCCCCAACTTTTGTGCCGTCACCAAACTTTTTCAGTGATGATTTTATGTTTTCGTCCAGGTCATTAGTAAAAATGTTAAATAGCATAAGGCCAAGAACTGATCCCTTTGTGAGCCCACTAGAAACACACCTGTCTATGATGGTTCCTTGTTTTTAATTACATTTTGAGACCAATCTGCCAATTTTTAATCCATTTATTGTGTGCCATGTTAATTTTATATTGTTCTAGTTTTTTAATCAAAATGTCAGGCAGTACCAAGTCAAATGCCTTAAAGAAATTGAGGGAGATAATATCTTTTATTTGGATCAACTTCTGTTGGTGGAAGGTACAAGCTTTCTAGCTTCAGGGCTGGGGAAGGTACAGAAGTGTATTACATCAATACCAAACTTGCAAACTTATAAAAAAAAAAAACCAAGTTAGTTTGACAGAATCTGATTTCCATAAACCTATGCAGATTGGCATTAATTATATTACTCTCCTGTATTAATTGAGTTGTGTATTAGCTGCTCCATTATCCTGTGGGAGTGATAGGAAATAGAAAATATAGCCTGGCAATCAGAAAAAAAAGTCTTGGGCATTGGGAAACTATGTTGCATTTTAATAGACCCCATGAGTAGTGGTGGAAGCCCCAGTGGTTAAGCAAGAATGGAAAAAGCACTAAAAAGTGTAATCTAGAGATCAATCCTTCACTTATCAGGAGGTAGACTAGATGATTTAAGAGAGATTTTTCTTCTGTAATTTCTATATTTTCCCCTGATTATTAGGACAGTGCATTGCAAATTGTTGTATCAGGCCAGATATACATATAAACAGGGATGTGAAAAGGTGTGATTCCTGGCCAACGTAGCTGTGCTGGCAGAAACCCTCTAATGTAGACACAGTTATAACGGTAAAACTACACCTTTGCCAATCTAGTTTATTTCACCTGGTGTTGTTTTGGAGGGGTTGGGGACATGAGTAGGGGGTGGGGCTAGAATAAACTATGCTTGTAAAAGTACAGTTCTGCCAATTCAAGCTGCAACCACAGTGGCACTCTAGGAGCACTTTGCTAGTACAGTTAAGCTTTCCAAAGGTAAACCTGGATTAATTTTAATTTATTATAATAATTCAGTACACTGTAAACAATTATTTTTAAAAGTACATTTCAGGTGCATCACCAGCTTTTCAGGATGCATATTAAATATATACTTAGTCCTTTCTGTACTGTACCAATTACATATCTTCTTTATTCCCCTTGAGGCACATACAGTCAGAAGAAGCATAAGATAAATACTTCCTTGCAAATGTAATGTTTTTCATACCCTCTCATTTAATCATTCCTGTCTACTTCCTTTAACATGGGGGAAATTATATATGATGGGGGGGGGGGGAAATCAATGAAAATATTGCTAATGACTAATGTGTCTCTATCATAAATAGTTTTCCAGAGAAGGGGGGGGGGGACAGGAAAAGCCCAGAAACCTGTTCTGAATGTAAACAGTTTAAAATTGTAGTTTATAGACTGCAAGTATAAATGTATAATGACTTATGTTCACCATTAAAACCATGCACATCTCACAGCCAGATCTTCAAGAGCTATTAACATGATTATTTATTTGATTTACAGCACCCAGAAATATGATAGTCACTTTACAGAAACATGAGAAAAGACAACCAAAAACATTTTCAAAGGTGCCTTTAAAAACAGGACTTGGGCTCATAAGTCACATAGGTGCTTTTGAAAATTTTACTCAAGGTCTGTGTCCCATAGGGATGATGGCAAGGGATGAGAAAGTACATAATAGTTTACAGTAACAATATAAGAATTCACTCTGGGCCTGAGTACATCTTATGGTTCTGATGCAAATAATGAAGCTTTGCATTTTCCCCCCCAGTGAAGTGTAACACTTCTAAACAACACAGCAGAAATGAATTTTACGGAAGGATTTAAAGGATATGGGTAGGAGGGAGGGTGGATTTTTAAATGGGTTTTTCTTAGTTTTAGGTTTTCAGCTATTGTTTTTTGAAATAGGCACATGCCATCAGTGGATTCCCATTGTCTTTCCTCTTTTAGGCTCTAGTCCTGCAGTGAGCTCCCTGTAGTCACAGGGTCCATCCACACTGAGCTCATTGCAAATGGGGGCCTTATAATTCATTCTGAAAAATAAAGATGCAAAGAAATTGCTCAGACTATGTTGCAACATAGACAAAAACCTTAAATCTTCAGAAAATGTAGTCAATCCCTGACCTCCGGCCTAGTGATTTTGCAGTTGTTCCTTCTCCACCATTATGCATTGTAAGTGAAAACAAGCTTCTAGACAAGCTTCTAGAGACAAAGTTCTATTCAAATTTACAACATATTGTAATTTTCTTTTGATTGTATGTTTTTTAAAAACATTAAATTGCAGCAGCATATCTGCCTTACCTATGTTTTGTCTTTTGTGCCAAACTGTTTTGCTCAAATAAACTTAAAATTACATTATGATTCATTTAAATCAAAAAAAGTCAGGCTCCGTGTTTTTGTCTGGCTGAACAAGAAGCCAGATTTAAACTATATTCATTCAGATTAGTTGTTACTTCTAAAGTATGTTTTTCTTTTTCTTGTTTTGGAGGGAGGGGAGTGTGGCAACAACTATAAGAAGGTATAATAAATAATAATCTTAACATTCTTATAGCATTTTTTTTTGTTCAAAATACTTTAACTGGCTTTTGATTAATGTTTGTAATCTTCAGAACAGATTTAAGAGTCAATTCTCCCTTTTTATAGATGGGAATGTTTATGGGATTGTATTTCAAATCCTTCCAAATCTCTTAAGAATATAAGAACGGACATACTGGGTCAGACCAAAGGTCCATCTAGCCCAGTATCCTGTCTTCAGACGGTGGCCAATGCCAGGTGCCCCAGAGGGAATGAACAGAACAGGTAATCATCAAGTGATCCGCTCCTTGTCGCCCACTTGTTCCTACTTGGAAGGAACCATCTTCGCAGTCTGTATTCATTTTAAAGCCGTTTTAAAATCTTCCCCTCTACATGATGAAGGGGTTTCGTGGGTCATTTTCAAACTCTCACGCTATTAGGGTGAGGGGGGGTCGAAGGAACACAAGGCTGTTTGTGAAGGAAACAGCAGCTGCCGGAAGCCAATCTGATCGGCGCTGCCTGGGCCATGTGGGCAAACACGTGGATCCGGACGGTCGTAGGCTTAGTACAGACGTGTGCCGCTGTGTTGGCCCTCGTGGTTCCTGCAGGGGGAAGGCAAAGGCGAGTCCGCCTGCGCGTGAACAAGTCCTTAGTCCAGCCCAGGGGGAACAACCAGCCTGCAGCACAGGCTAGACCGGCAAGCAGCGCCCGGGCCTCTCCCGGCCACGGCAGCTTTGTATGTAGCGCCCCCGGCCGGCGCCGTGCGGACGGGTGGAGGGGGCAGCCATGCTGCAGTGTGCCAGGCGGCGGCTGAGCCTGCAAGTGCTGGGAAGGGAGAGTCGGACGCAGCCCGCGCGCGAGGGGCCGGAGAGGACCGCGTTGGTGCCGCAGTGCGGGAGGAGGCGGGCGAGCTGGTTCCGGGCGCTGCTGGGCAGGGAAGTGTTTGAGGCTAGCGATCGCTTAGGGGCACAGCGCACCCGGGAGCGGGGTTCTCGTCCCCTGCCTTCCGCCCATCGCCTCCGGGCGGTCAGAGCGGTGTGTTCCGGCTCGCCCCGGGATGGAGGTGGGGCCGAGTCGGAAGAGCAGGTCAGTGCCGCTGCATCGCGTGTAGCCGACTCCCCCCAGGCGGCTGCATCGCAGGCGGACCCGGGTCAGGTGCTGAGGAGCCGGAGGAGGCGAGCCTGGGAAAGGGCCCTGTCTCCTCTGGAAAGAGTGAGCCGACTGCTACCAGAGGAGTTGCTCTCGGAAGAGATCAGGGACCTACGGCGCGCAGACCAGGGGGAAACAAGGCAGGAGGACAGCAGTGAATCTCACCTCCAGCTGCCTGCTGCCAGTAGGTCTTCCCCCGCACAACTGCAGAGGGATGAAGACAAGACGCCTGTTGACACCCATAACACATCGGCTAAAGATATGCCTTTCCAAGCCGGGGACTTGATTTTAGCAGAGTTTCGCAGAAAAACCTACACGGAGTTTAAACATATGCATAATCTGACAGCTGTCGGGAAATTGAATAGCAATTGGGGAGCTATTAGCCACCTGGAGATAATAGGCAAACTACCGGGCCAAATGTTTAGGACTTCTAGTGGGTTTCAGTTCCTGATAAGGAGACCAGCCTTAGAAGATTTTGTGTTGTTGATGAAGAGAGGACCTACTATTTCGTATCCAAAGGTAAGTCACTGTTGCGTGGGTTGTCAGTTGTTGCAATGAATGTTTCCACAACTGAACAATTTTAACTTAAAAACCGTTTAAACAGCAGCTGGTGATGATTATTGGTTTTAAAAAGGCAGGAACACCCCAGTTCACCCAGCTACAAGATGGGTACCGGAACCATTGGGTTAGGGTGGTGAAGGGTCTGATGAGCCATGGGTTTAGGGAACTTTGATTAGATGTACAGTTCCAATCTCAAGGATCTGGAGATGTTTTGGATTTCTATTAAGCAGCCCTTCACATATAAAAGTTCGGGTAGTCCTAATTTAAAACCTTGTTAGAGATGCAGTCTCTAAGGGAGAGTCTTTTGTTGTTAATTTGTATATCCAAGCATTTTCAGTTTAGGGAAACAGCAATACAATTTACTTTTAGACAGCTTCCTTCCCTACTAAACAGTCAGTGTTTTACAGTGGGATATTTTAGCTTTTACAACAGGGGTTCTCAAACTGGGGGTCGGGACCCCTTGGGGGTCACGAGCTGTCAACCTCCACCCCAAACCCCGCTTGCCTCCAGCATGTATAATGGTGTTAAATATATTAAAAAGTGTGTTTAAATTTATTAGGAGGTCGCACTCAGAGGCTTGCTGTGTGAAAGGGGTCGCTAGTAAAAAAGTTTGAGAACCACTGTTTTACAATCATAATTTGCCACTTGTGTTTTACTATATTAAGGAGTCCTATCATTCCTGTATTAGTAAATTACTTCTTTCTATTAATATTTGCTTTGTTGACCTGAATAGCTGCAGGAGCTTCAGGTGGCTTATGCGATTGCATAGTGATTTTCAGAGGTGCAGCATACCCACAGCTCCTATTGATTTCAATGGAACCTAAGAGTACTCAGCACCGCTGGAAATCAGGCTGTCCCTTTAAGCAGTATTCTAACTTATTAAAGTTTGAATATACAGTATAAAAGTATTGGTATTTTATTTATCTTTTAACCCTTAGGATATTAATGCAATGCTGATGATGATGGATATCAACCAGGGAGACACTGTGGTGGAAACTGGTACTGGGTCTGGTGGGATGAGCTTGTTTCTATCAAGAGCAGGTAAAAGACCCTAGATTTAGCAAATATAGGAGTTTATTTCAGAAGCAACACAGAAATCTTAGTATAACAAGTGCTACTTTTCCATTAATCAAAAAAACTTGAAGTCACTCTCTATGTCCACTTTCAGGATTTGCTGTGACTTCAGATTTATATATGCTGTTTACCTAGGGTGAAATTTCGCACTGTGCAGAGGGCCAGCACGTAGCCTGTAAGCCATTTAGGCTGCATTTTGATGTCATAAGGTGCACCTTGTGCTGATGCTCTGTACGGGGTTGAATTTCACTCCATGTTTTTATCATTGGTATCGTTGTATTGCCTTTCTAGCCTCTTTCTTGCTATTCTTGGGTTACTCTTTCCTCACCCCTGTTTGTACACTGCATCACTGAAGTCATGATCATAGTTGAGGAGCAGCTCTGCTATTAAGGTTGAGACTTGCTTATGCCATATCTACACTACAGTAACACAGAGTCCGGTGGTACCTTAAATTTAATTTAAGGTGCCACTGAACTCCTTGTTGTTTTTGTGAATACCGACTAACTCCGCTACCCCCTGATACTTAACACCATGCACTACAGTGCTGTAGTGTAGATGTTTCCTACATTGATGGGAAGGGGTTTATTGATGTAGTTAATCTACCTCTTTGAGAGGGACTAGCTAGGTCGATGGAAGAATTCTTCCATCGACCTAGCTGCATCTACAGTGGGGGTTAGGTTGAGCAAACTATGTGTCGCAGGGCGGAAATATGAAGCCGAAGTGGCAGTGGTGGGGCCAGGATGATATGGGAGGAACTAGTTGCCACATTTGTGCTGGCTCTGATGCCATTTTGCAGAGTCCCAGCCAGAACAGATCATTTATTTTCTGGGATAGGCTTGATGAAGTCTCCTGCATTAGGAATGATAAACCGAGTCTGCGCCAGGCACTTAGAACAGGTATGTGTGGCACAGAAACTCACGGCTGAGATCAGGGTGAGGCATAGTCAGTGCATGGCACAGTATACAATGCAGAGACTGTACTGGGGAGCCGAGAACAGGAGTGCTTGGCACTTACACTGCTGAGGCCAAGGCAAGATGCTGAGAACCAGCAAGTTTGACATAGGCCCACAAGAGCTGACGAATAAGGAGGGCAGGATGAGAGGCCCACAAGAGCTGACGAATAAGGAGGGCAGGATGAGAGGCCCACAAGAGCTGACGAATAAGGAGGGCAGGATGAGAACATGCTTTGAGAGGAATGGAGCAATAAACACCCATGGTTTCAGGCTGTATCATCTCCACCATGGGGTGTTCTCATTCAGCTGAGAACATTTCTTTGAGATGAATGGGCTACTTCACACCTCCCTGAGCTTTCCTTGAGGAAGATGGAAATGTAAACCCCCTTCCCTATACACTAGATCCCACTTCTGTATGCATTCCTCACAGCCTTCTGTCCTCAAAATTTACCAGGGGCATGTAGGTTTTTTTCTACAATTCCTCAATGAATAACGGATCATCCTCAAAGTGGTCTTTGCTCTCTAGGAACTCGGATGCACTGACAGAACACAACCATAAGGGAGGGAACGTTGGGCACCTTCCCGTCCAGTGACATACCTGGTAATGTCCAGAAAGTGGAACCTTTGATTCCTTTCCTACAAATATCCCCACATTCCTCCCAAATTCTTCTCTTTGGCTGATCCACCAGGCTTGGAGAAGGAGCTCCTTCGCTCCCCTTCCCTCACTTGGGGAAGAAACCCAGAACTCTCCACCTCCCTCTGCTGCTTCCAATGGTAGAAAAGGGGCTCTACAGGCTCCCCTTCCCCCACAATTGCTGCTGCTCCTCCTATGGAAAAGGGGATGTCTGAGCTGTGCAGGGGAATGGGGAGAGAAGGGGATCAGAGTTGTGTAATGTTGGCACAAAGCTTAAGTGGTCCATAGACACCTTGTGTTGGCCCTCTGCACAGAGGTAAATTTCAGCAAGTGAGCCATGCTTCTGTTACTGTGAATGTAAAACCAACTCTGATTTAGGCACTAGAAATGAATGTGTGTCCATGTTTATCTTTCCCAAACTCCTGTATCTGCTACAGAGTGAGTTAACTGAAAGACAGGGTGTCTGGCTAACGCTGCTGTTTCACTCCTGGAGACCTGCACTCTGATGCGGGTCACAAGTGAAAATAAGTACATTGGGTTTCACTGTAGTCTCTCTTTGGCCACTGCTTTAATCTCATCCCAGTGTTAGGCATAACTGAGGCTATGCCCTGCAGTTGCTGCACTGTAACTCCCGCATGTGGATGCTGCGGGCATAAACTAAAAGGTTCCTAGTTCTCATTAATGTAATCCTGTCTGAAAAGGACTACATTAATGTGCCTTGGAAACCTTTTAGTTTGTGCCTGCAGCATCTGCCCTGGAGAGATACAGCACATAACTTTATTGCAGCAGTGTAGACGAGCCCATACCATTGTTGGCAGCATTAGCAGAGAGATCAGAGACTGAAAGGACCATAGATATTGAATTCTTCTCTTATTGCTAGAGGTGCTCTCTCCAGGTGAGGGTTGAGACAAATGGTTCTGCCAGCCTCTGCTGTATCTATTCATAGAGTAGGCAAATTTCAGCCTCCAAGATGTTAATCTGGCACTTTTACCTGCACAGGATCACTTATATTTGAACAAAAATAAATTGTAGTTGATTATCTTTTATATAATAATTTGTTAAGGTGAGAAAGGGGAGACAATTTAGACTAACTCGTTCTGTTATTTACTTTGATGTTTTTAACCTGTTAACTTGAATCAGGAAAAAAAATAGTAAATTTAGTGTGTTTCATTTGCTTTAAGTTGGACCTCGAGGACGTGTTATAAGTTATGAAATCAGAAAAGATCACCATGCTGTAGCCAAGAAGAATTACAGGCGCTGGCGTGATGCATGGGAAATAGGACATGCAGAAGAGTGGCCAGACAACGTGGATTTCATTAATAAAGATATTTTAACAGCTGCTGAGGATATGAAATCTATAACATTTGATGCAGTAAGTCTTTAGTAGAAAATTCCCTACCTTAAAGAGATTGGCATCTGATTTTTTTTTTTCTGATGAAATGAAAAGCAATTTTCTTATCCTCTCCATTGTGGGATTTCCCACATCTAGCCTAAGCATAAACTATAAAGAAACAACCAAGTCTCTGTTAGCGGGGATGGACAAATCCCATCTCCTATTGTCAGCAAGTGTCTTTGAAGGTCTGATGGTGTATCATCCTCAAAAGAAACACTATGTCCATACATTTACTCCTTTCTGTCTTATAGGGAAAAGCATACTTTGTCGGTCTCCATTTGCAACAATAGTACAGTTGTGAGGGGAAATAGATTTTTTCCACCGCTGAACTTGGCACATGCTTTGTATATATTAAGTTCAAGAAAAATTGCAGACTTATTTGTACTATAACTGTTATTTAAAAAAATAAATAAATAAATAACTTTGATATCACCTGTGCTCCTGAATAGAATGTTACTACAGTCTAAACTGAAGTAATGAAGGGTATTGTCAATTCCTCTGTCTTCATGCTGTAACTTTTAATATTAACATTTTCATGCAAAGTATGTAAACAAAATACACTTTTGGTTTTTATATCCTTATTCTTTTAAATTGATGTGTTTTACAAGAAATGTTTGAACCCAACATAAACAGTGGGAAGCTAGTTAATGCAGTAATTTATTATTATCAGTCTTATTGGATCAACATAAATCTTTAGATTAAACAAATAAATAAACTCGTCAACTAAATTTCATGTGCACAGATACAAAATGGCCAGCAACCTAAAAATATAATCTCTGACTCAGAATCTTGGATATAACAGTTTATTAGTCCACAAAACAGGTATTCTTACATGCTCCATTCTTTGTTTGCAGTTTAAATAGTTTCTTGAAGAGCAGTTGTCAGAGAGTTTGCTGAGATAGAAGTCTCATGAGTTAAACATCTGAATTTTAATATTTAATAGTATGATGTGATTATTTCATTGCAAAATATAGTTTGAACACTTCTTAACTTTTTTTAAAGCAGATATGCAAAAATCAATTACATGCAATCTGTTTCAGGCATTCGTTTTTTTATTTTGCCAGCATGATACAGTTTAGTTGCTGGACAGTTTGACATTAAGCCATGACTACTGTATGTTGGTTAAATATGAATTGTTCATTTAGTAAAAACTACCAGATCTTGTCAACACTTCATCTGGAATGCAGTAACACTGAGCGGTCTAAGCGTTCAGGGATTTAAAAAAAAAAACAATGGATCTTAGGCCTGCATAAGCTGTTCAAAGACTGGAATAAAGTTATTTTTTGCAAATGTATATTGTAGATCTATGCATTAATTTTCCATAAACAAACTCCTAGTTTCTCCAAGTCAACAAAAGCAGAAAACAGATTTATGTCTATTCAGTCTGGTTAATAATTCTCTTGTTCTTCTATAGGTAGCTCTGGATATGCTTAACCCTCAGATTGCTTTGCCTGTTGTGTATCCAAACCTTAAGCAAGGTGGCGTGTGTGCTGTATACCTAGCAAAGTAAGTATTCAAACCTGGCATTGATAAACTTCTTTGAGTCAGACAGCAAATAACTGTAGTTTTGTTAAGCATGTTTTTATGAATAATAGATTTTAAATACAAAATGTTTATTTTTTGTAACAGTTTTCTACATTTGTTGTTCCTGTAATACTTTATGAGCTGCACTCAGTATAAGTCCTGCAGTCCTTACTTAGGCAAAATTGCCATTGGAGTCAGAGGGCATTTTACCTGAATAATGTCTGCAGGATAATTGCCCAGGTTCTTCTGTGCAGTATTCAGATTTGTTGCTGGCTTATACTAAAACTGATGGCTTTGTGTTCACCAAGAAGTGAAGAGCACAGTGCAGTGCACAGGTCCAGGACTAGCAGTTATATAAAAGGATCTAAAAAAAAAAAAAATGTAACACCATATCTCTTGCATTTCTCTGAAAGTATCACACAGGTTATTGATCTGTTGGAAGGAATACGGACCTGCAATTTCTCTCTTTTATGTGAAAGGATCATTGAGGTGACTCACAAAGATTGGTTGGTACTCCCTGCTAAGCAGAAGGATGGCAGGTTAGCCCCAAGAGTGGAACCTCAACAAATTGTAGATGAGGAACCTCAACCAAAAGAAGATGAAGAACTTCCTATTCGGGATCAAGCAGTAATTGGAGAAAGTGACGATGTTGGTAAGGAGCTACCCTGAATTAGATATATATTGGCAGGGCCGGCTCAGGCTTTTTTGCTGCCCCAAGCGGCGAAGGGAAAAAAAAAAAAAGGTGCAATCGGCGGCAGCTCAACTGCGCCACTTCATTCCTCGGCAGCAATTCAGCGGTGGGTCCTTCACTCTGAGAGGGACTGAGGGACCCACCGCCGAAGACCCGGGCGTGCCGCCCTTTCCCATTGGCCACCCCAAGCACCTGTTTCGTTCGCTGGTGCCTGGAGCCACCCCTGTATATTGGACTAGGAGACTAATGTAAATTTTCCCCCCTTTGAAGGGAGATTCTCCCTTACCACATCTATTTTGAACAAGATATAATTCAGAGAAGTCTGCTACAATTTCACACACCCTTCCTCTCTCAAATAATCTGCTTACATCACTTCAGATGCACATATGTCCTCCACATTTATGAGCCAAAGTTATCCGCTTGTGATGTATGCAAGCTCCATTGGTCCATAGCCGCATCTGCTGGTTTTCTAACACCTTTCCTGAAGCATTGCTGTTGCATGATGTAAAAGTATTAGCCCATGCTTACCAGACAGAGACTTGTTGTTGGTGTGGTTGGCTTGAAGTATAACTTTTTTCTGTAGTCTGAAAGCTGAAAATCTGGATCTCTAAGAATATAAACAAATACTTTTTTTTTTACTTTTATCATAAAAAAATGAGGATGAGGGTTTGAGAGCTAAAAATGTAATCACGTAAAATACCATTTTCTGTTTTTCAGACACCACCTGATCTACTCACCCCTAGCTCTTGTACTACTTCCTATGAAAAGTACTAGGAGTAGTGAAGCTGAAAGTCTGGGTTGTGGAGAACAGGTTTAGCACCCAAGTCCTCTCCTACAAATGAACTTTTTCTGGCTACAATCAATATTTTTTGGGGAGCTTTCCTAAATTTTGATTGGCAGCTATATTAATGGTAAATATAAATTTAAATGAGATGGCCTTTTAATAAATCCAGTTGCAAATTTAAATAAATAAAAATAAATTCTAATTGGTAGCTTAATCATGCTATTGAGTGAAACTTTTTAAACTTGAATTCAGGAACTGTCTTAGGGTAGCTTCCATATTCAGACTGTTGCTGCTTTATAATCCATTATGATTATGGTGTTTTTGGGACTGCATGTAGCAGATATTAACCAAAAATAGGATGCTTTGTCTGCAAGCTGCAGCTCTGGCAAATTCAGGCAGTACAGCTCATTCTAGCTATAGGTTTGTGAATATAGCAAAAGAGGCTGTCTATACTGATGCATGGCTGCAGAGCAGCCTGATAGGAGTGGATTAACAAAAGAGAGAAAGGCAAGATGTTAGAGAAATTAGTATTTGGACATAAAATACTCTAATATGATGTATGTAAGTTATTTATGTTTACCTGCCAGGAAATAAATATTTTTTTTATTTTAATTCAGCAGAATCGCTTTCTGATTATGTCAAACCATATGGTTCAGTGCCTTACATTGCTAGACCTTACCCTTGGCAAACTGGTCACACAGGTAAGAAATGTTTGGGAAATGTTTTTATAATCTTAAGATTTGTTAAATAGTATTGTATTTTTCACAAACACTCACTCTTTCTAAACTAGTATTTTATCATTGACATAATGAATTGATATAACTTATAGTAGTTTTCTATTAAATGCACACTGACGTTCCTGTGGCAATAATATTTTTTTTCCCTCCAACTAGTATTTCTCATCAAGCTGAGGAAATATAAAGTGGCATATCAAGACACTGCTCCAGATGGCAGCTGCTAATTTGAGTACTGTACTTTGCCAGAATAAAATTAAATGTTGTTGTAAATGGCTGTTTAATTTTGTAGACTTGTAAATTTTTTTAAATTACTACTTTGATTTATATTGAATGTATATTTTTATATTCCATGTACAATCTAAAGAAGGGACGCTAATGAAATAGTGAACTATGGTACAGATATGCAATACCATTAGAAACAAACATTTTATAATTGATCTTGCAATGAGTTTGGTATTCTGAGCTGTGTCTAATAACTCTGGTCAAACATTTCATTCTTCATTTCCTGTAAACCAATCCATGGATTTGTCTTGATTCATGCAGCTAATCTTTCTCCCTTTGGTGGATAGACTGTTGCAATCTACCAGAAATAATAATAGAAAAAAAAAAGAGAAGGTAAGAATACAATAGACCAAATTCTGCCTTCTGCTACAGATTCAGTTCCTGTTTGCATTGTTATGTACCAATCAATACTGATCACCTTTGTTAGGAGCAAAATATGTTTGCACAATTCTACACTGAGTCATTAGGAAATGCAATTCACAGAATTTTGACCCTATTATATATACTTATTTACCTCAAGGCACTGTTTACACAAAGAAAAAGACCAGTTATTGACAAGATTTTCCTTGCTATACCTCTGTCAATCAGGGCTGAAGATTGTTTGGCTGATAGTGGTCAGATCATTTTCAACACCATTACAGAAAGCATGTCTACTATTTGTTGGAGGGAGAAGAGGAGGGATGGTACTGTGGACAAAGCAAAGGACTGAAGAGTCAGGAGTTCTAGTTTTAATCCCATCCCTGTAATGTACTTCTTATGTAGTTTTGGAAAAATCTGTGCCTGAGTTTCTTCCTAATTAAAATGGATATGCTAAAACTTCTCTACCCTATGGGGTATTCTGAGGTTGAAATGGAAACCATCCCTGGGTCTGGACCACTTAAAATACATTAGAAATAGTTTCAAGTATTACCACCTTCCTCTGCGTTCTTGTGTCAGTTGTGGTTATATAAATAACTTATTCTATCTTTTAAAATGTTTTTCTCATCTGAAGCTATGTTGAAAACCCACACAAGCAGAGCAAAAGGACTTGTTCCAGGGACACCATGAACCTGTCTATATACAAAGTGCTATCAAATGCATGAAGTAAATGAACTAATTTTTTTCCTAATCTCTTTCAGATATACTAATCTTAACTCTTATCTGTAACAGTAGTAAGTTTAAAAAAATTGGGACAGAAGTGTGATTATAGTCTCAGTTTGGAGGCTCTGTGTAAGTGCAAAGTAGTTTAACAGTAAGCTGAACCTGTGATATGTTCTACTGGCCTCGTATGCCTAATTCCTTTTCTGTTAAAAATATCACACAATTGAAAAACTTCCAAGGTTTAAGAAGCCCCTTAGAGTTGGAGCAGTTTACGGACGATATCAAAACAATAAGTATAAGACTCTAGGATTCCTAATGCCAACATTTCAATCCCCTTTGCACTAATGGAAAAATGGATATTAAAGAGAATTTATTATGTCACCATTTATTATTTAGATAAATTAATTCCACTCCTTCAAAGATGTATGCATGTATTTAATGTTTCACACTGTGAGTAGTGCCCAGTGGTTAAGCACATATGTAAATCTTGGTAGATTTGGGCCTTACACATTTTTATAAAATGAATCTACCAAAAGATAATCATCTAAAGCATGATCCAGTCTTAATATTTAATTTTAAAAGGAACAAATACCTACTTTATATGATGGAGATGTCTCAGATACAATAAAAGCTATCCAAGATTTTGGGGTGGGAGGTGGGTTAGAAAAAAACCAATTGATTTCATGAGTGATCAAGTTCAGAATATATATGATAGAGGGCTGCACTGTTTTGTTTTTAAAACCCTGAACTTGTGTTGCTCACAACAGTAATCTTAAAACTCAGATAAGCATAATTTATTCTTATTGTTGCTTCTAACAAGCAGGAAATGTTAGAAAGGAATTTTCAGAATTAATTTGAGACATTAATATTGGACAACTTCTTGCTCATAGTAGTATATATTCATCAACAGTCCGCTGAAGTCAGTGAGTAGCTATGAATAAAAGTTAACAGGATTTGTCAACTCCCAGAAGAGTTAGAATTGAGAACAGTTAAGGAGACAAGGATAATTTCAATAGACGTAGAACATCTTTAGTTCATTCAGCCACAGCGTGTTTAGATTAATACTAACAAGAAAAGGTAATTTGCAGCAAAAAATCATAAAAATAGTCTGTTATTGTGATAGTGAATTTAGTCTAACAAGACTTCAGAATAGTTTGGTGAAACAAAACATACTGCTCTTTATTACAAGTATGTAAAGAACCATGGAAGGAACTCAGAATACTTTTGCAAAAGATGCTTTAAGATGAAAACATTAGCTGTTCAAACAGACGGATGCGCTTTCTGATAGTAAAACGTCTGAGACCTGTCTCCTAACAAGGGTTTACTCAAAATACACTCATTTATTTTACCAAGAATAGCACACAATCTGGATAGAGTTCTGGTTACAAATGGGATTGTTAACTGGCTGCACAACACTGCTAAATCCTTGGAGGTCAAGAAAATTGATTTAATAAATGTTCACAATTCAAAACTAAAACATGCTTGGCACTAATTAGCACATTTGTTGGTAGTCTCTGTCTAGGTGCCTATATGACCCCCATTCCCATAAATCTGAGTCTTAATAGAGTGTCCAAGGATTTAATAGGCATGAAGACTACACTGTAGTCTTATTACTAGAAAAGTTTCACCATACTGCTCTGCTGGTGTTTCTCCAGGTTAGAGATAAGCAACCTTGGCAGGGCAGCTAAAAGAGCTTTTATTGCTGCTATTTGTGCTATCCCAATTCTGTAGATAAATAAAGCGATGGAGATTCTAGTCTCCTTTCACAAGCACTACATTCATACTTTCCAAAACTAACATGCAAGCGGAATATGAAGTGGCTTGTTTCTCACTTTGTCAAGCTTTTGGTTAAGTGACAGACCTCTTACATACAGAGCAAGGGAAAAGCAGAGTTTAGTCCCACTTTGTACAGAACTCAGTCCTGCAGCAGAGGTGTGTGCTTTAGAAATGCTGATATATTAGATGTGCTAGACCAGTGATTCTCAAACTTTTGTACTGGTGACCCCTTTCACATAGCAATCCTCTGAGTGCAAACCCGCCCCCCCTTATACATTAAAAACACTTTTTAATATATTTAACACCATTATAAATACAGGAGGCAAAGCAGGGCTTGGGGTGGAGGCTGACAGCTCGCGACCCCCTCACCCCCCATGTAATAACCTTATGACCCCCCGAGGGGTCCCAACCCCCATGCTATACAGATACAGCAGATTCCAAGGTAATAAAGCGACTTACAATACTAAACTGTACCTTGGGAATAACAGCAAGAAGAAGGATCAACTAGCATTTTTTCAACTGGGAAAGTGTCCTTCAATTCCTGATATACATGTTGCTCCATGATCTCCAAAGTCCCAGTGGATGAAGACGATGAGGATGATAATCCCAGTCCTACAAATCTTCCTTTCTTACCACAAAGCGAACAATCTGCTGGTGTGGCACTCGGTCCCCGGGGCAGCTGCACTTCATCTCTGCTGTAATTTCTGACAGCCCCACTGTGATGCATGGAACGTTCTCGCTGCCATATATAATGTGATGGAGCAATAGCCATTACCTAGATTAGAAAAATCTTAATTATGTATGGAACCAGTATCAGAAAAACAACAAGCAAATACTATACAACAGAAATGAAGAGAAACCTATTTCTATTTCTAAGTATATGTTTGTCCTGGAAGATGGTACCTCTCTATGAAACTGAACATTATGGAGGAAAGAACAAGTTTGAAAATATCTCCTCTGTGCAAAAATTATTTGGTGATGCAATAATCAGTTTAATTTCTAATTGATGTAGGGTTTCAAGGAAGAAAAGCCACATTCAGTTTCCATCATATCTGTGTCTGAGAAATACACATCATTGGTTTAGAGTGGTAGGGAAGTTAGAAGTGCTCTTTGCTGGCTGAACTGCTCTGAATAACTTAATTAAAATTCCCTTAACTTTACAGTTTGACAAAGTCTTGTGCCATTCCACTTATCCCATTTAAAACCCCAGTGTAAACTGTATCATGCTTTCCAACAATTGATGATGCCATAGTTTCAATATGGAACCTCCTAACCGAAAAAATAGTTTGGGGAATTTTTTTGTTTCCTCAATCTTAAATCTGGTATCAGTTCTCGCTGTGCTAGGCTGTAACTATGCAGTTTCACAAGATTTAATGGAAATAGATAAGCTCCCATCTTTTCCAAATCCAAACAGAAAATGTATTTCACTACTTTCTGTAGTTCAATCCCTCATGTCATTACAGGGCCTTTCCTGGCAGGAGGAATAAATCCAAACAGAGAATACTGAGGAACAGTATTTATCAGGGTGACTTTTTTTTCCTTTTCTCTTAAGCTCAGGTTTGAAAAAAAGAAAGAAATAATGCAACAGCAATTAAGGGGTTGTTAAAATACCTTGAATTTTTAGAAATAAAGGGTAAAATCCTGGCCTTACTGAAGTCAAATGGAGTTTTACTGTTGAGTTCACTTGGGCCAGGATTTCACCCAAAGTATTGGATTTTTATCTAAAAATTGAAATTTGACAATTTTCTAAGTAGTTTGAAAAATGAAATAATTCTAAACTGAATGAGGTGACTTGTATAATCAGTTTCAACTTTGCTGCAAATTCCTTCATTCAGGACCAATAGGAAATAGGGTATTTGTATAAGACACAAGGATTCTGGTCAGCAAAAACTCATGGAGCAACTTTGGTAGTGAATGCTGAGTGGCAAAATGTAAAACTTTCCAAATGCAAGGTGGACTGGCTATGTGGGCAAATTTTTAAAAATTTGGATATGGAGTTTACCCTAAAAACAGAGGCCTAGATCCACAAAGGTAGTTAAGCATGAAACCCCAGACTTAGGCACCCAATGGCTTCAGTCCCAGTTTTTGGCTCTACTGCGATCCACAAAACTCCCACCAAGCCCTGTGGGAGCCTAAACTGACTCAGCAAGTTTTCAGGGTAAAAGTTCCTGAGGTGTCAGAGGCCTGGTCTACACTACGAGTTTAGGTCGAATTTAGCAGCGTTAAAACGAATTAGGCCTGGACACGTCCACACGACGAAGCCCTTTTTTTCGACTTAAAGGGCCCTTTTAACTGATTTCTTTACTCCACTTCTGACGAGGGGATTAGCGCTGAAATCGGCCTTTCCGGGTCGGATTTGGGGTAGTTTGGATGGAATTCGACAGTATTGGTCTCCGGGAGCTATTCCAGAGTGCTTCACTGTGACCGCTCTGGACAGCACTCTCAACTCAGATGCACTGACCAGGTAGACAGGAAAAGCCCCGCGAACTTTTGAATTTCATTTCCTGTTTGCCCAGCATGGAGAGCACAGGTGACCATGCAGCGCTCATCAGCACAGGTAACCATGATGGAGTCCCAGGATCGCAAAAGAGCTCCAGCATGGACCGAACGGGAGGTACGGGATCTGCTCGCCATATGGGGAGACGAATCAGTGCTAGCTGAACTTCGTTGCAGTAAACGAAATGCCAAAACATTAGAAAAAGTCTCAAAGGCCATGAAGGACAGAGGCCATAACAGGGACGCACAGTAGTGCCGTGTGAAAATTAAAGAGCTAAGGCAAGCCTACCACAAAGCCAGAGAGGCAAACGGAAGGTCCGGGGCAGAGCCGCAGACATGCCGCTTCTATGCGGAGCTGCATGCCATGCTAGGGGGTGCAGCCACCACTACCCCAACCCTGTGCTTTGACTCCATCAATGGAGAATCACGCAACAGGGAAGCGGGTTCGGGGTACGAGGAAGATG